GTTTAAAAAGATCAAAGTAATGATCTTTCTAAAAGACCAGATGTCAGGAAAATAGATCCCAATTTATTCTAGGCAGCCAACGTCTTGAATACACCTTAAATTGCACCCCTCTTGGCCTGCCAGCCATGTAAGATAGAGCACATCAGCAAGGAAAAAATAGACCTATTTTGAAGACGGCGATACACACACAGTTTTTAATTTGTATAAATTGTTCACGTGGGAGAACAAGGTCTCATTATAAAGATGTGATATCTAGAGTATATAACACATTTTCAGTGTTTTAATGTTTTACAGTTTCCACTTTCCATCTGTCTCCATCTCTAAATATCTATCTAAACAACTGTAAAATCTTCTTGTCTAGATTATTCTCTTGACTTAGGTAATGATGATTACCGGGGCTGTTCAGCATGAACTGATTGTGTGGCAGATATATGCACATTTTTATAGCTATAGAAAATCGCTTCTATTACTTTAAGCACACTACTTTTACTTTTCCCCCTCAATAAAAATAAATAAATAAATAATTTCATATGAACACAAGAGCACCTTGACATTTCAAGAGCTACGATCAATACATCATGGCAGCATATGTTTTTCCATTACTTTAACTCATTGGAATAATTTAACCAATTTCAACTTAATTTTGACTCATCTTGGCAGTACAAGTAAATTCAACTGTAATAATATTTTATTAAAGCTTTCGATCTCTGTTCGAAATATGCAATTGCATTTATTTGCGGAATTATCAACTTTACTTGTATTGTGTCGAGGCACAACTCGTACGGCACAGCGCGGATGAACACAATGTTTGAGGAGGCTGTCAGTCGCGGCGCCAGTGTGGATACTGGCATTCAGAATCACAGATTCTACTTTTTGGAAGTATGACCAACATAATAATTTTCACTGGAAAAAGTTACATCCACCTTTGTTCTGACCAATCTAATAAAAAAAAAGATTGCAGTAAATCGCGCTGATTTAATCTAAAAATCGCTAATCATATCACGCAAAACCGTGCAAATTATACTTTGTTCTCAAATTGTTAATATTAACAACGTCAGCATTGCGTGACAACATGTAATGTCCATCCGATAGGTATCCTTGTTTTCGCATGGGTCCGGTTGCAGTCTCTTTTTTTCTGTAGCTACTCCGAAGTCTGAACGAAGTCTTTTGCATTTTACAATGGGAGAATCTGTTGTATTGGTGATTGTCGTTTGAACCTTTCTGAATCTGTCATCAAATTTAACTATATCTAGTGTTGTGAGAAAAGGCTATAAATCTCCACCTCCAGCATCCTCGCATGCAATATAGCCTACAAGCCGAGACTCCTTCTTTATATGTACAGATGTGACGTAATAGCGCAAAGACAAGCTCGAATCTCCCACGGAAATCCACCAATGTCTAATAGAATCGAACTAAGGCAAGCAGAAAGCATTGAACACTGGCTGGTTGTGTATTTTCTCAAATATGTATTTTGGATCATTTTAAAGGGGTCATGAACTTGCTTTTTAAATTTTATTATATTGTTGTCTGAGGTCGACTTGAACTGGCCATGTTGAAGTAGGCATTGATCTTCTTCTGCAGGGGTGGTGTTTTATCCTCTTTGTCGTCATAGTTCCCAGTTTGAAAACCGAGTCGTTTACTGGACCTGGTGTCAATAAAGGCTTTTATTGGACTAACAAAGACATTTTCAGTTCTGAAACTTACAGGACATTCATATAATGTGATGACCTCTTAAATGTCAAAAGCTCAAGGAAAATTTTATTTCTCAGTTCATCACCCCTTTATCCCCCCCCAAATACATTTCACCAGTTTTTTTTAACTCAACTTCAAAATATAAATTAAGTTGAAATTTCTTGTACAGTCTTTGATTATACTTAAAGGATTAGTTAAAAAAAAAAATTTACTCACCCCCATAGATATCCACGTCATTCTTTCTTCAGTCGCAAAGAAATTAAGTTACAGAAAATGAATAAGTTACAAATTAAGGTAACAAATTTTTTTTCGAGTCATGACTCAAAGGGTCCTAGTAAGACCTTTATTCATCATCTGGTGTCATTTAAAGCCCTTTGAAGCTGCACTGAAACTCTCATTTGGACCTTGAATGGTTCCCATTGAAGTCCATTATATGGAGAAAATCCAGGAATTTTTTCATCAAAAACCTTAATTTCTTTTTGACTGAAGAAAAAATGATGTGGATATCTTGGATGACGTGGGGGTGAGTAAATTATCAGCAAGAGTTTTTTTTTTTGAAGTGAACTACTCCTTTAAACAATGTAAGGCTGCAGCTGAACATACGTTTTTAAGTTGAAGTTAGATTTTTAAGAGTTGAAGTTTTTTAAGAGATAATTTGACCCTGTGACCTCTGGCTCTGCTGACATCATCAGCCCCTGGCCCTGTTCAGGAGCTGTGAAGGGTCAAGAGACAGGTCAGCATGTTTAAATGTGTCAGATTCAATGAGATCTCCTCTAAGCTGGTTTCCCCTATTCCTATCTGACTGTTCAATATACAGCGGTCGGTAGAGTAACAGATCCGATGAGGGCACGATAGCCGCTGGAAAAGAAGAAAAACATGAGGAAAATATTTCACAGAGGTCTGCACCAGCACATTTATTATTTACAACCCACTGCTCAAACGCAAATAATCCTCCTCACCCCTCTCTAACGTGAAACTTTTTGAATGCATCGCCCTCTCAACAACAAACCATCCCCGGATCAAACACGTCCACACACCCACACGGCAGCACAAATGCGGAAGGAGTCAGCGTGTTTGTGTTATTGTCTGCTTCTTAGGACAGGACTTCAAATGGTAAATGTCAGCAGGAGATCAAGGCAAGGAGGCCTTATGGGCGAAGCCTTAGTATTGTCATTGACAGCTACAGGTTGACAGGTGGAGAGAGACAACATGCTCGTCAGAGACGGAGGACGGGAGATAACAGAAATGTTGCCTCCTGTTTTCTTGGGAGTAAATCTGTGTTTTTTGTCTTGTAAGAAGACTCTTGAAAATAACTGGCTGGTTGAATTTCCCACTGTCATTGCTTCCCATATTTGAGGGAATCGTTCACCCAAAAATGAAAATTCTGTCGTCATTTACCAGAGGTGGGAGACGCGAGTCACATGACTTGACTCGAGTCACAATTTTCTGGACTTGAGACTTACTTACTAGATCTCTGAAAAGACTCAACTTGACTTTAGAATGACTCGGACTTGTGCCTATTTACTTGAAATGACTTGTGGAAGAAACAAAAAATTCTCAATTATTGTGATTTTTGTTTTGTTTTAATACATCATAAGAGGGAGCATGGGCGGTAATGCACTCTGCGTGTGGGGGTTGAGGGAGAATAAGTTGAGCTGTGTTCTGTCAAATGTGTTGTTTTCTTGAACGCAATGGGAGAAAGTGATATAGAAAGTAGTTGAGAACGTCAGTTATAACGACGACCCACGTATTAAAAAATAGCCGGGTTTAAATCATTCAAATGATTAGATTTTTTTTTTTTTTTAAATGTCCATATAATATTTTGTGTTATGGGATCAAATCACCTGGGTATTTAGAGTGAGAACATACAAACTTTGGCATACAGTAGTAATTTGGAATGCAATATCTTTTTAGGTTTTTTGTTTAAAGATGGAAAAAGTTGTATTAATTCTTGTTTACTTGTGTTCATTTAATTTATTTTTATTTTAGAGCATTTAAAGTGCTTCTTAATGATATTTTAATTTATTACACACAAGTTAATTTATTTCTTTTTGTAACCCCTCTGTGTCTAAATAAAGTAATAAAAGTCCCACAGTTCCCAAAAAAAGTCCCCAAAAAATGTGTAAAACTAGCCTGTTTGCGCCTTGGTATGACTTGATGACTAAGTTGCGACTTGACCTGACTTGACAAAGAGTATCACTTGACTTGACCATTACAACAGAATGACTTGACTTGACTTGAGACTTGCATTTAGTGACTTACTCCCACCTCTGTAATTTACTCCCTCACTTTGTTCCAAACTGTCCCAAGGTATGACCAATGTCGGGTGAAATTTTGTGAGGGCAATAGAATTTCCTTTATTACATGTAGTTAATTATTATTACTCAGTACTTAAATGTATAATGACATTGTAACAAGGACATTAAAATAAAGTGTAACCAATTTTTGCTAATGTGACTGCACCATTAAAGAAAGTCCAAGTGGTCCAATGTTGTTTTAGGCTCTTTTGACTTTCATTGTAATAATAAAAACAGTTGAAACGTTCTTCAAAACATTGTCTTTTGTGTTCATGCAGGTTGGGAACTTATGAGGGTGAGTAAATGATGATGGATTGGGTATTTTTGGGTGAACTATCTATTTAAGCAGAAGAGCTGGATAACATTGAAATACATTTTCTTTTCTGTGATATGCAGGTTTGGATGTTTTTAAACAATTGTCAGGCATAAAGGAGGTGATACTGGAGCTGAAGGACGATGTGGGTCAGAGACTCCATCACTTTTTTATTTTTAATTTTTTTTAAACAGTGCCCTTCAAAGCTCACACACACAGACACACACAGAGGAAGCATTGGCAGCAACACCAAACATTCCCGCTTGGATAAATATGTCCATTTATGCTTTGACTGGCTCAGTTCTGCTTCTATGATAGAGGAGGGATAGTCTTTTTAATATTGGACTCACATAATGTTTCTGTTGTGCTGTCTTGCCTAAGAGAAATTATAAAAATGTGTGGGGAAATGCAAAGAACTGCACTTACCCGATAGTCTATTACCATAATAAGGGAGTAATGATGTTGTAAATTGTGATGATTGCAAAATTATAGGATTTATTTTCTATTATACATTGGATTTCTGTAAGATATAGTTGTCATGATTGTTGTGATAGGCTGCAGACTGCCGAGAGCGAGGGAGAGTGAGTACGTGATGAGGGATTTTAAAACAGTCGTTTTATTAGGAGAGAGAGAGAGAGAGAGAGAGAGAGAGAGAGAGAGAGAGAGAGAGAGAGAGAGAGAGAGAGAGAGAGAGAGAGAGAGAGATAACAGCGTTTGCCCTGTTCATATTTGACTCAGTGCTTGTCATTGAACACCGACAGACTCACACAGCGCAGGAAGAAAGTCCTCGCATTAAGATCGACATTACAAGGTAAAATGTTCATTTTTCCCTAGATCGCTCGGGATGAATTTAACACGAGCCATCAAAGCCAGAGCTTCTGTCTCCTTCATATTTTAGAGTTTTTTATGTTGGGTTAAGGAATAATCAGCCCAGTGCGCCGCACGAGGGATTTATTTGCAAATAATTTCAAATGAAGTATAGGCTACATGTAGCCCATATATTTTTGTAATTATTTCGTTAATTTATTATTTTGGCTTTAAAGCGTTGTGAATAAGAAGAAACACTATCGTTTTGTGTTCAGTTAGACATGTCCGCTTGCATTTCTTATTGTCCATAGTCCACTACGTTTTTTCAACAATGTATATCATTCAACACATAGTCAATACAAAGTACCGATGTTTCCCATTGACGATGTCCAAAAACTCCAGTAGACTACTCCTGACGGACTAACTGGGTGATGCATACATGCATGCTGTCCTTCCTATAGGCTATAAGTGGTGGTTTTGTGAAATATGAGTTATTAAATTCTGGACTCACTCTTGGGAAACGCGGACTTTCCACATGACTGGGCGCGCAAAGGAATTGAAGCAGATGGCGCGCGCTCTTCTGTCTGTTACCGTTGAGGGATTCGCGGGGCAACAGCATACACGTTTACCGACACCCCTGTGTTCGCGGGGCATATTAAACAGTTAGTCCTTTCTTAACGATGGCTTCACTGACGACACTCATTTGAGTCCCTAATAATGTTTTTAGTCGCAAATTAAGTGAATGTGGCTGCGCGACGAGCGCGCGGCGGCAAGCCCGCACGCTCTGCTGCTCGTTCCATGTGTTTCCCCAAATATATTATTAGCACGAATGCCATTTTAGTAGGCTATGCCATACGTTGTTTTTTCTTCCATGTTTTTTTTTTGTAATAATGATTACAGTTGGCTGTATGTAGATTTGCTGCCGCTTTCATTACCCCCATGGTCATGGGTTGCGTGAAGTGGCCGAGCCGTCATACGATGTTTTTTGGGTTAAGTGCGCTTAAAAGGTCTGACCTTTCTGATTAAATCTAAACCCAAGAAAAAAGTCACAAAAAAAAAAAAAAAAAAAAAAACCCTATTGGGGGTTAAGATTCACAAACACAAAAGTTAAAGAGTTAGTCAGAGGAGCCTATACTAAATAAGTCTCGTTCGTTTGAGAAGGTTACCATAGCAACAACAGGCTGGTCCATCACTTTTCGTTATATGGTACGGTACATCGACAAAACATAAGTATAAGCTACCACAAAAAACAAAACAAACAACAAAAACAAACAAAAAACAACAACAACAACAGTCTAATCTCTTGGCTAAAGTCATTTCATATTTTGAACACTTGTGATTATATGTATCATCAGAATTGGTTGAGTGTCTGTCACTTAAAGTCAGCATGAAATCAAAATTGATCAGTATAAATTGCAATATTTATTAAAAACGATTTATCTGTGCACATAATTATTTATTAATTTCAAGCTTCCCTCTTAATCTGCAATCAAAAATAACTTCCCTTCTTGAAACAACATCCCTTCTCTGATGATGTTTACTGGCGCAAGACTTTTGCCTCAAACCACAATTGATCTATCCAATCTATTCCCGATGGACAAAAACAAATCATGTCCTTTTTTTTATTTTCTTGTTTGAGAAGCCATTTCTCTTGGATATACAGTAGGAAAAAAAGATGATCTCAAGTTCAACTTCCATTTCTTAGCGACTTTAAATGTAATATGCTTGTATATATAAGTACTGTTTATAAATAATCTATTCTTATACTAATCCTACTTATATTAAGTCCAATAAGTAATTCATGGTGGATTTCCCAACATTATGGCTTTACACTGTTTTAGCATCTTGACCAGCTGGACACAAAACTATTTACCCAAACAATGGAGTGAATAGTGGGCGGGACTAGACTGGTAGTCCGATCACTGGTAAATGAAGGGAATGCATTTCTGTTTGTTGTCACTAGAGGCAGAAACGTCATACTTTACACATCTCTAAACAAGGGGATGAGTATAGATATTTTTTAAATGTGAGGAAATTTTAATTTTTATCTTCTTGCATTTTCTGGTTTTAAGCTAGATTTTTTGGGATTGTTGCCTTTTATTTTGATAGGGCAGTAGGAGGACTAGTGAGAGGGGTGTTCTGACCAAGAAAAGACATTTTGCTGGAACACGAACTCGAGTCCTTTAAAGTGCAACTGCACTACATGTCCGAGACGCTCTCCCACACGTTGATGGCTCTGACAGAACGGTCTGTTTTTATTTGAATGAAGCAGGTAGCACAAGTTGAAACTGTTGTGTGGTTAGCTATATTACTCGCCAAGGAAATACTATTTAATGACTTGTAGCATTAGATACATTTGTGAGATGTAGAGATTTGGGGAGTCTTAGAATATAGACACTATTTCTCACAAAAAAACGTGTATAGAAATGCACTTGAGCAAAAAGGAAGCTTATAGAAGGGCCAAAAAGAAGACAAATAATCGAGTCTCTGCACTCCAAATGTGTTTCTACATGTACCTTGCGGGCTTATGATGTACATATACACACCTTTCTTCATTTTTTTCTCTATGTGGTTTTTTCTTGTACAGTAATTGTCTGTGTGTGCCTTGAAGCAAAATGCATTTTTCTCCTTTGACGATATTGCTCTATCAAAGGGACGCAGATACATTGATTTTTGTTGTTGTTGTTTTTATGTGAGTATATGCAGATTTTTTTTTTTGATGCACAAAATCCCTTTCAGCTTGGCTAAGCTTCAGCAAGGGGAGGTTCACTGTTACAAAATGGGCCAGGCAGGAGGCAGCTTGCAGTACGGGTAAACACTCCTCTGATTTTATTTAACGCGACTCCAGCAATCTGTGTCAGCAATAAGCTTGTGATTGTTTACACACAAGGAGCTCTTGCATTTACCAAGGAAGAAATGGAGAAGAAGAGATGGTTTGAGGAGGAAATGTGGAGGCATCCATGTTGAAAAAGACAAGACACTGGCTCAGTGACTTATGTTGGACAAAGGCTTTCCTGGCAAGAGACCGCAGAGAAATATAGTATTGTCACAGGGAAGACTGACTGACTCACAGCCTTAGGCATTACTTTAATTTACAATAGATGCAGCTATGAGCACATGCAAAGAGAAGAAAAAGAATAAAAAGAAGTGAGGACTTGTGATTGTAAATGTGTTTGTTGTAAGATCCAAAAACAAAAGGGCCAATTATACAACCTCTGCCCTTTGCAATTTGGAAAGCAAGTGTTTTTATTTCCACAGAAAAAAAGGGGATTGCTCCTCTAAAGAGCTTCCATCTATAGCAGGCCGTTGAGTAAAATGAAGTCGACAAGCTTTATCAGATAAGAGGCCCTCAGAGACTAAGTTAAAGCGAGTATTAAAGCTAACATGGGGCTCTCTTTACCATCCTGAATCAGATTAGTATCATGCAGATTGTCTCTTTGGATACTAACTAACAGACTGCTGTGCATCTCTCTGACATGTGGCACTTAGTGTCAGCAATGTATTAGCTTGTTTTTTTTGTGTGTGTTCATTCAAAAACCTTTTAATAGATGTTTAAACTTTCTCTAAAAGAAATTGTCCCTTTGAAATTTGTTGGCGTGACTCAGGGTGATAACCTCCTTGGTTCACCATGAGAAAGAGACAGGTGGAATGAGCAAATGAGGTGATACTTTCGATCTCTCTGGCTTTTAGAGAGCTTGCTGTGATAAGTAAAAAGCGCGTGTGCTGGTTGCAAGAATCTGCGTATTATTGTGATGCACTTCAAACTGTTCAAACTTCTTTTGTAATTTTAATGTTTTTCTGAATATATTGTGGGTGCCAGAGCAGTTTTTCATGCCAAAGGCAGGAAGTGGTCTCCATTGATAGGCAGTAAGTGGGACTGTTGCGTGCTGTAGAAGTGAAAATAAAGTAAGAGCTATTGGCACGGAGAGTGAATATTCTCCACTAGAAATTAAACTGAAACAATGTATTCCCATGGACCTAACCACACTGGGGAATGATACAGTATGTGTTTGTCCATCCATACATCCATCCAACCAACCAAAGGCCCAGTGGTGTAGCGGATTGGCACACAGGGAACGTCACGATAAAGGACAACACCACCCTGGAACACGTTTTATATTGAGGGGCATTCTTGAGTTTGACTGGGGAACATCTTTGGTGTCTGGTCATGAAAGAATTTCTCTATCCCAAACCTTGGTCCTTGTTCCCTGGTATCTTCTTTCCAGGCAAGTCATTTCACTGTGCTGCCATCTTGGCAATGACCCCAGGCAGCTATTGATTATTGTGATTAATTCAACTCATGTCTGCTTGAATGGGGAAATCCTCAAAATTGTTTGTGCCTCAATAACACAGAATCAGCAATAAAATCTGTCGAAAGTGGTATCACACATTTTATGTCTTTGCGCAAATATTGAGGGTTGTGGTTTCACCCATTCATTTATCTACAAGTAGGCTCCAGCACTCCTGTGAGACCGACATAAGATATAGAAGATGAATGGATTTATCTACAAGTGGTCCATCTCTTTCTCCTTACACTGTCTGCTGTAGCCTAATCTCACAGGGGCTGTGAATGAGGATGATCTGGTTGATTGGTTAATGCCATTCTAGCAGTCAGACAAACATTTGAATGACAACTATAAATCCGACACTATGATTAGTGCCACTCTGTAATACAGCTCTCAAACATCAGCTGCTCTACCAAGCGAGAAGTATCATCTATTTTGATGTTGTATTATAATCCAATAGATATCATTCACAATCTCTTTGACACCAAGGCTACTCAAATCTTAAAGACATATTACAAGTTGAGAACAAGTTAATTACTTAAAGCAGAGGCATAAATCATTATTATTGATTATTGACTTGCAATTGTGAAAATGGCCTATTTTTGGAGTACTTAAAAGTAGAAATATGAAGTATATACTTTTATAAAAGCACTTACATTAACTATTCCAGTAACAATGTTTATGACATTGCTTGGCAAAAAAGTTCTAAATCTAATTA